TTTGCTATCGCTCGCTTTGAGAAACAAAAAGAAATTTTATATAAAACCTTACCCATAATTTAAAAAATATCGATAGTAATGAATGTATACTGATAATAGATGACTTGAATGAGGATAGTTTTCAAACTATAAACTAAAAAGTATTGAGGAAATATTGGAAAAGCTATGTTTTGGGATATTTGGCAATGATTATGTACACTCGAGTACACATAACCGACTGACCATATGTACTCAGGTAGATATAAGCAATATATAAGACTCTAATATAACTTAATGTTAAAGTTGTATGTGTTGATTATATCTACTTGAGTGCACATAGCCAGCTGACTATGTACACTTGAGTGTGCATAATCATTACCCTCATATTTGGACATTTACCTACTGCTAACAGCTTGACAAGTCTTGATTGCGCATATTTAAATTTTGTTCCTTACGAAAAAGAGTGCCAACAAGTCATAGGAACCTTTCATAGTTTCCATGAAACATTGACTCTGTCAGTTAACATTACCAAAGATAATGTACATAATTATAATGAAACTAAATATGATAGTAACGTGAGAATGGAAGCAAACTCAACTTCAAACTCAACATCAGCAACTGCTACAATTTTTAATAATTCAAATGAACTTATAAATACTTCAATAGAAAAAAATAATAATATAAGACTTAAAAGTAGAATTCTTATACCAGTTATGAATAACAATAATGATAATGTGAATCATGATCAAAGAAATTCTGATTTAACGAAGGTAACTGACGTAAATAGGCGTTCAAGTCCACGAAAGTTAAAATTTCTTTCAAACTTAAAAGCAGTAATACCGCACAGAGGATTATCAATCAGTGATATCAGATTTCATTCATTAGTTGAACAATTAAGAGTTTTAAATCTTTGTACAATAATAATTATCGGTGATGGCAATTGTTTCTTATGGACTATATCTCGTCAGCTTTTTGGTACTCAAATTCATCATTGTTAATTAAGATCTGATTCAATTATGTACATTACACGAAGCAGTTTTACATTCGATGTTTTCTGTCAGCAATGAAGACAACAATATTTATCATTATATTTCTCGCATGAAAAAATTGTATGCATATGCAGATCATTTGATTATTATGGTGACAGTATCAACTTTGAATCAGAATATCATCATTTATGAATATGGTAAATGTCCATTATTAATACCTAGATCTGATTATATTCATTGACAGCTACATGTTTCATATTATCCAATCGATCTACATTATGAAAGCGTCAAACATTTTGATGGAACAATTCCTATTATCTCATTCGATGGCTCACAATTAACCTAAATTAATTCGCTTCATTGGTTTTCTTTATTCAAAAATTCATTACTATTTTTTATGTAAGGGGAGTTTTATTTACATTGTCTTTTACATTATTGTTTACTTTACTAACTGGTTTGAGTATAACGTTATAATTTTATTTTGAAACTCACAAATATTGTCGAAGAAAATGGTAAGTATAAGTTTTATGGTGAAGTTTTGACGGCTGCTCCCCCTCCCCCTATTCATCACAGACCTTAGCAACCGAGAATAATAGGCATAAGATTTTCTAGCTTTTTTTGGAAAATTGATCAAGTTATAATTGTGAAATATAATGAATATCATTATTGGTGAATTGATTAATATATATGATAGGGTGTAAGATCTGCTATAGATATCATGAATATGTAAAACAGACTTGTTTGTCAATTAGTTCAATAATTATAATAATAAGAATGTTAAACTAAGAAAAATGAATTCAAAAAATAAAAAATAATGAGCGGATGCCAATAATGCAAATAAAAAATAGAGTACTCGTAGAAAAAATTAATAATTCTGTTCAAAATGCAGAAATTAGAGAGATCCTTACTCTGGTGATCGATTATCCTGTGAAACAACTATAGTTCACAGGAGGCTTTTCACTCTACGTATTTTATATAGTTTAATGAGACTAAAGAGCATTATAGACATTTAATTGTAAAGTATTTCGCATTATTAACAGATGGCATGATGCAACGAATAACTAAATAATAAATTTACCTGCTTTTAAATCAATGGAACTACTTACA